TGCCACCACAAGTGCTGTATAAGGGGAAAACCAGTCAATGTCATCTGAACTTTAATTTTCCAGCCGAGTGGGACATTTACCACACCACTAACCACTGGAGCAATGAAGACAGTATGAAACGTTATGCCTACAGTGTTCTCCTTCCATACATCCAGAAAATCCGTAATCAACTTAGACTGCCAGCTGAACAAAAATCTTTAGTGATATTCGATGTTTTTCGAGCACACCAAAGCAAGTTTTTTGCAGAAACTCCGCGATGGTGGTGTGATACCAGTATTTGTTCCTCCTTGTTGTACGTCGGAGCTGCAACCTCTGGACCTCTCATTCAACGGCAAATTTAAAGAATGCTTGAAGGAGGAATTTAATGCATGGTATGCTAGCAAAGTAGTGGCAGCCTTAGAACGTGGAGAAGATATCGGGCAAGTTAATGTTGATTTGCGTCGTGTCTATTATGAAGCCCCTACATGCACATTGGCTACTATGCGTCTATGACAGTTTGCGAGACAATCATGAACTCATCGTGGATGGATTTGTTTAATCGTCCATCAAGGAAACCATTGACAATATTCAGGTTTGAACATTTTTGTGACAATGACATACTGGTACATTTTGAACTGCAACATTGTATATTTATTATTATGAAATGACATTCGTAGTTTACTGCTACATGTATGTGCAATAACACAACCAGACACTACTAGTATTTGATCATATCTGTAATTTTATTTCTTTGTTATTAATATTCATTAGTAGTATTTATTTATTAAAATAAGATTACTAGTAACTTTATCTGTGGCGTGATTGTTATTGTTTTTCACAAAAACGGCCATTTTGTTTATTGTTCCCGTCGTGCGTGATGTGAAGCCATGTAATACCATTAGCCCCTTAGCTTGGTAATTATTCGCGAAGACTAATTTTCGGTTTACAGTATAAAGAACCACTAATTTAGTAATTGGATTTTATTGAAACTTTTATTTCAATGAACCTAGGACTATGCAGAGACCCAATTAGTTTTTGGTAAATATTTATGCTTATTAATCACCTAATTACAATAATTATTCAACAATGATATCTCAATTACTGATCATCACATTTGAATAAAATTTGGGACATAAATTTTCTAGAACAATAGACAGGCCCAATTAATTTTGGGTTAATAATAATTCATTTGTTCTAATCGCATTTCAATGAAACTTGGTACATAGATATTACATTACGTAGGCCTTATTAGTTTTACACTCAAATCTGTTCATATCAGTTACCTGATTTACATAATTAGTTTTCAGCTTTTCCATCAATATCAAGTACAAGTAATTTTGAATTAATTTTTAATGTGTCTTCAATACTCTCGGCACACAGGAGTTCTTTCTAATCTTTCTTTGATTTATATTTGTATTGGGCAGTGGGTGTGGTATGTTAAACAACACTTGAGGTGGTGAAGTGCTTGTTGTGGTCGTGAGTTTGAATCCTATGTTTTTTGTTGTAATCTATGTTTGTTTGTTTGCATACATATTTATGAAAGACATCTGCCGAGTACTGTTGCTAAAACTGTTTAAATCAATTTTTGGCACAAGGTGGGCAGTTATTAGAACCCCGTCATACATGTATATTAACTGAAATTTGGCCAAATAAAGTTGGTACATGTTATACACAGGTAAATGAACTAATAATTGATAAGTACAATATAAAAATGAAACTTGTAATATAAAACTGACTGTAATTGTATAAGTAGATGAAAATTCCTGCTGTGGTGATTGTACATATACATGTACATGTATGTAGCAAAAGATACACTGCCTATTCCAAAATCTAATTAATTTCTATATAGAATTTGCTTTTTTTATGGTTTCACCTATTGCATGCATGGTCAGTTTGAATGGTGAATAACAATTATTATTTTTTATTTGCTTTGCAGCCTGCTGATTGCAAGGCATTGATAGAGAAATTAAAAGCATGCAGCGAGGATGATCTTTTAACCGAACTCAAGCAAATTAAATCATGGAATTATGGCAAGGTAAGTGAATCCTATGCTACTTTGTGGATTGATAACTAAAACAACAAGGAAGTACTGGAGTGGTAGGATGTAATTTTTGACTCCCATGTGCGAAGCACATAATGGGAGTCTTTGCAGTTAGTGTGTCTGTGTGTGTGTATGTGTGTCCGACTGTTCCACTGCTATCTCAAGAACCATACATCGGTTTTTGATGAAACTTGGTGCATAGATGCTCTGGGCCAATGCGCAGATTTGATTAGGTTTTGGTAAAAATCCATGCTCGTTAATTACCTAATTTGCATGATAATTAGCTGATTTTTAGCTGTTCTATAACTGTTCCACTGATATCTAGAGAACCACTCATTGGATTTTGATGAAACTTGGTACATAGATGCTCTGAAC